AAGAACCCGTGCCTGCTAAATAATCAACCCCACCCCAGTTTATGACGCCACTCCTAAGCAGCTTATGGAATTCCTCTTGCATGCTCTAAAGGTGCTCTGTGAGTGCCCACACGCTGCTGCTCTCCCCAAAGGGACAGCCCTGTCTTTTGCCTCATGCTACTGACAATAAATCTCTTGTGTGAGATTACAGTGTGTAGTGTGGTCTTTGGGCTTTGTGTGGACTCTGCGGGTGTCCTTTCAAGCACAATCAAGAAGACTGCCTGGGTAGACTAGGAGTACAGGGGTCATTTGTTAGTGGGCCATACCAGGAAGTGGACTCAGCTAGACAATTGGGGTTCAAAGCTCTTCTCTGCCTCTGAGTAGCTGTGTGACCTTGATCAAGGTCCTCAATTTCACTGTGTCTCAGGTTTTCCATCCATCAAGGAATTGAGAGCGTTAAGGGTGGACAGTGTCAGGTTACATGGTGATCAGTCAGTAAGCATCAGCAGCCACAAAGATGATAAAGGGCCTAAGCTGGCTGCTGGAATCCACCAATCCCACCAACCTTTGGGATGAGGAGGTTTGGACGGAGGGATGATGAGGGCTGGGTCATTGAGCTTGAGAGGTTCTCAGAGAGCTGTCAGGTGGGAACTGGATGTGAGGATCCTGAGTTCAGCCATGGTTCAGAGAAATAGAAGAGAAGGGAGGCTACCTGGGAAGGGATGGTGGGAAGAGGAGGAACCCATGCAGATCTAGGTACCAGGTACTGGTGGCAGGTAGGCATTCAGAAAATGTTAATTGTCTCGGGTTGGACATGTGAGATAAAGACTTGGTCTCCTTCCCACTGCCCTTCACCAAGCTGTCAGCCTGGCTCTCCTCAGAGGTTCTCTATGTCCAAAATGACACATGGGGTGAGCCTAGGAAGGATTGGGGGGCACTGTTGCAGTCTGGTCTGCCCATCAGAGCCATGACCAAGGCTAAGGCCTTACAAAATCTTGAACTGCACAGAAGCACAGAAAGTGATGATTCCCCCTTAATCTCACTCCTTAAATCCCATTACCTTTCCTTAGCAGCTCAGTGTATATTCTTCTGAACATTTCAGCCATTCAGACACTTCGTTTTCTACATAATGAAAGGATATATCTATCTACCTACCTACCTCTATATTTTTAGTCAGCATTTTCACCACTGTGACCAAAAGACCTGAGAAGAACAATTTTAGGGGAAAAGTTTACTTGGCACTCATGGTTTCAGAAGTCTCAGTCCATAGATGGATAACTCCATTGTTCTGGGCCCGAGATGATGCAGAACATCATGGTGGAAGGGTGTGTGGGAGAAAAGCAACTTAGGACATGACAATCGGGAAGCAGAGAGAGAACACCGGTTCTGCTCACTAGGGACAAAATACATACTCCAAAGGCACACCCCCGAGGCCCACCTCCTCCAGCCACCCTACCTGTGACCACCCTATTTATCCACTCAAGTGGATTAACGTACTGATTAGGTTAAGACTCTCATAACCCAATTATTTCACTTCTAAACTTTCTTGCATTGTCTCACATAGGAGCTTTTTGAGGACAACTTACATGCAAACCATAACTCTCTATTTCTGCAATTCACTTTTTTTCACTTGCCAATGTATCATCTTCTGTGTCGTCCCATAGAGCCACCTCACTTTTTTAAATATTTTTTTTTTAGTTGTAGATGGACACAACATCTTTCTTTCTTTCTTTCTTTCTTTCTTTATTTATTTATTTTATGTGTGCTAAGGATCGGATCCAGTGCTTCATGCATGCTAGGTAAGTTCTCTACCACGGAGCCACAACCCCAGCCCTCCACCTCACGTTTTTTAATGGTTGTTGTATTCTGTAGCATGGAATTTTCCATTATCCCCTCAATCTGCTCTGGGTGGTCATGAAGGATATTTCTCATTTTCTGCTGCCCTGAGCATCTTTGCACTTGTAGCTCAGAACTCTTGTATCTTTCTACAGGACAGATAGGCAGGTGGTAATTATCAGGAATGAATGAAAAGTCTTGTGTTTATCCCAAAATCAGGACAACAGATAAGCTGGAACTGGATTGGTAACCAGACCTAGGAGAGGACCTGGGGGCTCAGTTCACCGGCTCTGACTTCCATAATATGTGACCTTCTCATCTCTTTCCAGCTGGTCCTCATGGTTTGCTGGTCATGCCTCTGTCAATTCTGAGCACATAACAGAGAAGATAAGCCTGTACACATTCCTTCCCCTTCAAGAGATAAGAATAATTTCAACTGTTATCTGCTAGACAGGAACTCGCAGGGTGAAGCACCTGTGTTTATGGGAGAATACACTGCTAACTGCCATCTCTTCATGTTGTTTCTTCCTTCCAGAAAAGACCATAAGGAATGAGTGAAACCAGCCAAGGCTTCCCAGCCCCTCTTCCAAGCAATCTGGAATAAATTTTGCTTGTTATATAATCTTTTTATAATGCTAAATTCTCTGCCCTGGGGGCATCCCTGTCCACCATATTTGAACACGCAATGTTTGAAGAAGCATGATCGGAAACTAAGCCTGCTCAGGAACGTACCAGTTTCCACATGGGATGACAAAGTCTCCCCAGTATGAATATGCATAAATCGCCCCAATAAAACCCCTCACCTCTGGTGTTTGGGGAGACTCTGCTTTGGGACACTCCTTACTTGCTGCAAGTCATAAACCTCTCTTGGTTCTTTCATCTCCTGATTGTGTTTACATTTTAAGCAATCTCTTGGAAGTCAACCTCTACCTCACCAAGGGACAAACCATTTTTTGTTTTACAACCATCCTCTCTGGCCCCATCAGCTTTGCATACCCCACTTCCTGTCCAGGGAAAGGGTTCTCCCCAAGTCCAGGGGATTTTTCTCTTGGGATATATGCAACTTAAAGTGGCATGGTGCTTTGGTTTGAAAGTTACAGAAGCTTAATTTCTCAAAGTTATATGGTAATGGTGGGACCATGTGGGACTTTTCAGAGGTGATTAGGTCATAATGTGGGGCTGTTCTAAAGGTGGGTCTAGCACTGACTCATTTTTTTAACTTTATTTATTTATTTTACAGTAGAATGTAGCACTGACTCTTGAATGCACCCCTCTCACCATGTGGAACCCTGAACTGCCTCCAGATTCTACAGAGTCCACACCACAAGAAGGATGTCACCAGATACAGACCCTTGACTTTGGGCTTCCCAGCCTCCAGAACTGTGTGCTAAGTAAACTTTTATTCTTTAAAAATTACTCAGCCTGTGTTTAGTTATAGCAACAGAAAACAGACTAAAACATGTGATACGGATGGTTTCTTGGCTAAGAGAATCTTCTTCTTTTTGGGGCCGAGTCAATCAGCAGGGCTGGGTCCCCAGTGCGATCATACCCAGTCTCCTGGGGTGAGAGCATGTGCTTGTGGCTGGGCTCAGGGGTGGGGGTGGCATTTCTCCCCTGCAGATGTGGACAGGTCTTCCTCTGCCATCCTCTTCCTGTCTCGGTACTTCAGGGCAGAATCAGCTTCCTGTCCATAGGACATTTGATTGGAAGACAGTACAATTATCGGTAACTGGCTTATTTCCTTCTGAGACTCAACAAGGAGAGCAGATGAAATGCTATTGGTTCAGGCACTTTATCTCAATGAGACATATTTAATAAATCTGTATATGACCCAACTGGGTCCTTCAGATCATTGCAAATTGAGCTTTTGATTTACAATACATTTGAAGCAATCGCTTGGAAGTCAACCTCATCTGAAACTCATTGGTTGAAGGCAAGTGCAGCTAGGGAAGGGTGAGCGGAGCCTGCCTGAGATTTACTATCAGTAGTGACTCATTCCCCACTCCCATTTCTGGTCCTACATGGGAAGGATTAACCTTTACTCCCCCCTCAGTGTTGCCAAGTAACGGCACAGTTGGATTTTCAGGCCAGGGTGTTCCCGGCAATAGCCTCTCACTCATTAACACTTCTGGAAGTACTGCGTGTCCATGTCTGGTTAAACTCCAAATACTTTGCAAAGCCACGAGCAAAGTCTGTCGCTACACAGAGGTGTGATATGGCCAGCCAGCCCCAGACACGAATTTAAGCATGGAGGAAGAGAAAGGACTTACGAACTAGGGTTCTCCTAGGGAACTCATTAAAAATGAAGATTCAGCATGGAGCCTTGATGGAATGCAAATGGAACCAGAGCTGTCATTGTCACCACGGTGGAGACTTGGAGCCAGATCTGCAGCTGAATCCAGCTCTACCCCTTTGAATGGCTAGGTCATGACAGATGACTCAGATGACCCAGTCTCCTGGCCTCTGTTTCCTTATCTAGGATGAGATGTCACCTATGCTGTGTTGTGGCCTTGAGCATGGCATGGGGGGGGGGGGGGGGACACGTACAGAAAAGTGAAGCAAAGTCCTCAGGGTTTGATAAATAGTGGGTGCCCCACCCTGTTGGTCATAGGGTGCTAAATGGATGATCAGATGGAAGGGCTCGGGCCTGTCTCACTGGACCAGGAAAAGAACTGAAATGTTGACAACAGAACTTATTGTCTGACATGGGGACACTTCTGAGACCGGGCCATTATTGCTGCAAGTGAAGCATGATGCAGGAGCCACCATTCCTAGCCTATCTCAGTCTACTCATTCTGATAACTTCCCATCACAGTGATGTCCCCAAAGGGAACAACTCCCCATGCTTCTTATACAAATTAAATATAGCCCAAACCATCTGTTAGGCAATGGCCTTTGCTCTCTGGGAGTATTAGATCCCAGAGAGATTTCCTTTAGATCCACTCAGCTCCCTTTCTTCTCCCCCCAACTCCCTCTGAGTTTCAGGAAGCCCCTCCTGCTGCTCCACTCCTTGTCCCCACTCCTGCGCTCTGGGATTGGCCCCCTAGGAGGGGGGCGAAAGAGACAGAAGTGCACTCTGCACGCAGCTACGTTGTGGGCTGGAGATGCCACTGTCTTCCTTTGGTTTAATGATCAATTCATTCTTGGTCAGAAAGCCCTTTCCAACCTGCTTTGTCCTTAGTCACTCAGGCTCGGAGCTGGCACCTGCTACAGAATGATGGCTGACAACTCCACCAGCGACCTCCATGCTCCGGGACCACAACTGAGCGTGACTGACATCGTTGTTATCGCTGTCTACTTTGCCCTGAATGTAGCCGTGGGCATATGGGTGAGAGAACTTGTGGGAGCCAGGCTCTCAGGGTGGCTGCTCGGGATGGCAAACTAGGTCTCTCCCCTGGTGGCCTGCTGCCCACTGTCTGGATAATAGAATCCAGCTGCACCTGAGAGCTGCTGGGTCAGAATCCTAAGGCAGGGAGGACCATGAGGGCCTGGGGAATCTTCATTTTTAATGAGTTCCCCAGGAAAACCCTAGTTCATAAGTCCTTTCTCTTCCTCCATAAGAGACAGGTGATTTGACCCCATCTGCAGATTATAATGACAGCAGGGTCCCTAGTAGGCAGGCACAGGGGCAGGCCCTTCCCCGTACCCCATCCACAAACGGCCCCCAGAAAAGACCAACCTCATGTGCAGTTGAAGAAGCTGAGGCTGCGGGAGGCTGGGATTTGCCTTAGGAGGTCTGCCTGACAGGAGGAAGCTCCTCTTTAGGATATTTGTGACGCTGACCTTTGAGATTCTCCCACCGGGTAAGGAGATGACACCTGTGAGCCATGCTTCACCTCACTGACCCTCATTTAGGGTTGGGAGAGGTCGGCTCCCCTCCTCACCCCAGAGTTCCCAGGTGGCATCCCAGAGCTCTGACATTTTCCCAAGAAAAATGAGTGCTCCTTCTTCTCTTCCATAATCCCTGGTCTAAGAGGCTAGGGAAAAGGGGATCTGCCATGTCCTCTCCAGTTTTCTGGGATTTAGTGTAAGATGGGTCTTGATCTGTAAGATGGAGTCACCATCTACCTCCTAGGGTGAGGTCTCCTATAAAAGGGGCCTGCATGGGAGAGGACCCTGCTGCTGCCATTGGATCGACGTTAGTAGGGGTACCAGTAGGAGTGGTTGAAGTGGTTGGAAGTGGTTGGAGGTGGTTGGAGATGGTGGTGGTGGTTATGGTGGTTGGAGGTGGTAGAGGTGGTGGTGGTGGTGATGGTGGTTGGAGGTGGTAGAGGTGGTGGTGGTGGTGATGGTGGTTGGAGGTGGTAGAGGTGGTGGTGGTGGTGATGGTGGGAATGGTGATGGTGATTGTAGTGGTTGGTGGTAGCGGACGTAGTCCTGTGGTTGTGGTAGTGGTTAGCAGCAGCAGTAACTGAAATTAATTATGAAGTGATTGAATACTAAATCCCAAGTGGCCCCGTGATGGCCATTGGTGATTCCAGTTTCTGGCCCTGGCTCTGCTCTGTGTAGACATACCTTGGTTTATTGCACTTCCTAGGTAAAGTGTTTTTGTTGTTTTTGTTGTTGTTGTTGTTGTTGTTGTTTACCAAATGAAGTTGTTTGGCAACATGTGTTGAGCAAGTAAGTCTAAGGCACCATTTTTCCAACAGCATGTGTGCTCACTTTGTGTCACATTTTGGTAATTATTGAAATATCTTTCTCATCGCTATCGTACCTCTGACAGCGATCTGAGATCAGGGTCTCTGATGTGACTATTGTAACTGGGGCACCATCACTTTGCCGATAAGATGACGAACTTAATGGATTCTGTCTGCTCCACCAGCCAGACATTCCCTGTCTCTCTCCCTCTCTATTCCTGACACAGAATTGAAATGAGACCAGTTAATAACCCTCCATGGCCTCTAGGTATTCAAGTAAAAAGAAGCCCTGTGCATCTCTCACTTTAAATCAAAAACTAGAAATACTTAAGCTCTGTCAGGAGGGCATGAACTAGGGTGAAAGCAAGGCCTCTTGTGCCAAGCTGCCAGCCAAGTCATGAACACCAAGGAAAAACTCGAACAAGGAGTGGATCAGGCTGTTGCTGATATGGAGAAAGGATGAGAGGTCTGGGTAGAAGGTCAAGCCAACCACTGCATACCAAGGGCTGACCCATGACTCTTCAATTCTGTGAAGCTGAGAGGGCAAGAAATCTGCGGTAGAGAAGCTAGAAGCAGGCAAACCCTTTCTAGGGTTTAAGGAGAGGAGCTGTCTCCATGACACCCAGGGCCCAGGAGAAGTGCCAGGTGCTGATGGAGAAGCTGCAGCCAGTTATGTGGAGGATCCAGCTCACACAGCTGGTGGAAGAGGCTGCTCTGAACATCAGATTGCCAATGGAGATGGAACAGCGTCAGGTTAGAAGAAGATGCCACCTTCTCGTGGCAGGGAGAAGTCAACGCCTGGCTTCTAAGGATAGGCTGACTCCTTGGTAGGGGCTGATGCAGCTGGTGACCTGAGTTGAAGCCAATGCTCCCTTACCACTCTGGCCATCCTGGGCCCCAAGGGAATGCTTGCTTGCCACTCTGCCCCCCCACAAAGCCCAGATGAAGGGACATCGGTGTGCATCCTGGTTTACTGAGTATTTTAGTTAATCTCACACTTGAAAAATTGCAGCTCAGAAAAGAAATAGATCCTTTCCATAATATGATTGACTGACATCACCCTTTGTTACCCAAGAGCTGGGAGGGAGAGGAACAAGATTAATCCTGCCTTCATGCCTATGAACACAACATCCATTCTGCAGCTCCTGGTTCTAGGAGTACTTTTGACGTGCAATTCTTATTTAAATAGTACATTTCATGAAGCTCTAGCTGCCGTCGATAGTAACTCCTCTGCTGGATCTGAGAAAAATCAATTAAACCTCAAAGGACTCACCATCCAAGATGACATTAAGGGCATTTGTGACTCATGGGAAGAAGTCGAAAATATCAACAGTAACAGGAATTTGGAAGAAGTCAATTCCAAGCATCGTGGATGACTTGAGGGGTTCAGGACTTCAATGGAGGAAGAACTCAGATATGGGGGGATAGTGGCAAAACTGAGGTTTTAGAAGTGGGGTCTGAAGATGTGACTAAACTGCTGCCATCTCATGGTGAAAGTTTAATTGACAGGGAGTTTTTCTTATAGATGAGCAAACAAAGTGGTTTCATGAGATGGAGTCCCCCCGCCCCCCCGATGCAGATGCCGTGGACATTGTTGAAATGACCACAGAGGATCTAGAATGTTACACAGACTTAACTGATAAAGCAGCAACAGAGTTTGAGAGGATCGACTCCAATTCTGAAAGAAGCTCTACTGTGGGTGAAATATTGTCCAACAGCATCACATGCTAAGGAGAAATCTTTTGTGAAAGAAAGAGTCAACAGACATGGCAAATTTCACTGTTGTCTTATTTTAAGGAATTGTCACAGATACCCCAGGCTTCAGCTACCACCACCACCTTATCCATCAGTCAACAGCCACCAACATCTAGGCAAGACCCTTTGCGTTACTCAGTATTCCACCACTATTACAAAATACTTGAGATAACCAACTTATAAAGAAAAAAGGGTTGATTTTGGCTCACAGTTTTGGAGTTTCAAGTCTATGATTAATTGGCCCATTACTTTTGGCCTGCGTCATGGTGGCAATGGGTGGTAGATCAAATCCTCATACATGGCAAGCCAGGGAATAAAGATGAGGACTTTAGAAGGAATCTGGATCCTACAATCCCCTCCAAGGGCACATCCCCAATGACCTAAGAACCTCTCACTAGGCCTCACCAATAGCAGCACCCTGGGGACCACACTTAAAACATGGGCCTTAAGGAGACATTCAGTATCCAAACCATAGCACCCTCCAAAAGCAAATGATTAGGACTTCCTAAAACTCAAATGATCATTGGCATTTTTCAGCAATAAAGTGTTTTAAATTAAGGCATATATACATTGGTTTTTTAGATATAATACTATTGTTCACCTAATAGTGTAAACATAACTTTTTTTTAAGGAGAGAGAGGGAGGGAGGAGAGAGATAATCTTTTTTTTTTTTTTTTTTTTTTTTTGGTAGATGGACACAACACAATGCCTTTATTTTTATGTGGTGCTGAGAATCGAACCCAGGTCCCGCCCGTGCTAGGGGAGTGCTCTACCGCTGAGCCACAATCCCAGCCCTAAACGTTAACTTTTATATGCACTGGGAAACCAAAAAAAAAAAAAAATCATTCCACTTGCTTTATTGCTGTAATTGCTTGGTTGTGGTGGTTGGGAACCCAACCCAATTTGCAGGCCTGTGCCTGAGGCAAGTTACTTAACCTCCCTGGGCTTAAATTTCCTCAAATACATAATGTGGGTGTCAGTGCCACTCACTTCTCAAAGCTGTTGCAAGGATCCAGGAGACAACGGATATGAAAATTTGTTGCAAATTACGATGGTCCCCCCTCATCTGAGGTTTCATTTTCCATAGTTTCAATCACCTGTGATCTGATAATATTAAGTGGGTGGTTCCATAAATAAATAATTTGTAAGTTTTAAATTTGTGTGTAATTTCAGAAGTGTGACAAAATCTCAGGCTGTCCCACTCCATCTTACCCAAAAGGTGACTCATTTTTTCATCCAGCATTTCTATGACACTCGCCCATTCGTTGCTTAGGAGCTGTCTCAGTTACCTTATCAACTGTCATGGTATTACTGTGCTTGTGTTGGAGTGACCCTTATTTTATTTAATGATGGCCCCAAAGCACAAGAGTAGTGATGCTGGGCTGGGGATGTGGCTCAAGCTGCAGCGCGCTCGCCTGGCACCACATACAAAGATGTTATGTCCGCCGAAAACTAAAAAATAAATATTAAAAAAAAAAAAGAGTAGTGATGCTGGCAATTTGTACATGCCAAAGAGAAGCCATAATGTGCTCCTTTTAAGTGAAAGTTCTCAATAAGGAAAAAAAAATCTAGCATTGAAATTGATAAGATCTTCAGAAAATTAATCTTGCAGGGTCTCTGGTTTTATTCCTAGGTCCTTGATCCATTTTGAGTTTGAGTTTTGTGCATGGTGAGAGATAGGGGTTTAATTTCATTTTGTTGCTTATGGATTTCCAGTTTTCCCAGCACCATTTGTTGAAGAGGTTATCTTTTCCCCAATGCATGTTTTTGGCACTTTTTTTTTTTTGAAGTTAGAAAATCCATTTTTTATTATACAGAAACTTTTGACCAGCTAAATACCAGCTACAGGGGGAAAGGGGGACATCAGGCAACAGCCACAGTCATGCTATGATGGCACCTTTATCTAATATAAGATAATTGTAATTTTTTGGGTTAG